CCAACATTTCCAAACTATATGTTGTTTTCAGCTACAGTTTCCAGTCTGCTCCTGTTCCACCTCAGGATCAAGACTAGGAGGGTATACCTGTCATGGTTACCTGTTTGTCCCATAAAGGCCTTTGATTTCAGTTATGTTAATCCTGGGCAGTTGTATGTACTCACTGAAGAGGCCAATGGATTTGGCCCTCTACTTCCTCATTAGAGCTCTGGTGCCACTCCTGAAAACGAAAAGTGGAAAGTTAAGGTTCTCTTGTAATGGGTGTTGCAAACAACATTAACATGTGAAACCAGTATCCTCAGTTCTTAATACCTAATGTCATTGACCGGACCTGGTAGGGATGGTGATAGTCTATGTGGCTCAGTGGATAGAGTGCTAGGCCTGCAGTTAGGAAGATCTGAGATCTAATTTGGCCTCAGACATTTAATGAGCTGTTTGACCTTGGGTAAATCACTTATCCTCTATTGGTTAGTTTTCTCAATTGTAAAATGGGATAATTATAGCGCTCACCTCCCAGGGTTGTTGTAAGGATCCAATGAAATAATATTTATAAAGTGTTTAGCACATAGTAGGAGCTATATAAATGCTAGCTATGATCATTATTGATATTTTTCTTCACCATACTGGACTTCCAGGGTCAAGGGAAAACAACCTGTTTGGCATTGAAAAGGAGGAGATATGGGAGAATTCATGGCCACTCTGAGGTCAGTGTGGTATATATGTATATTGTGCCATGCCATTTTGGGTTGTACAATACCTTGGTCATTTTTCAGAGGTTCATAAATCTGGTTTTTCCATACCTGGTGATTTATCTCATATAGCACCTTCCTCTGGGCTCACTCCACCGAATTGCATTAACACTGGCCGGTTGGGTCTTCATAAAGGCAAAGGTTTCTTAGGGTTCTAAGGGTAACACTGTAAGTGACTATTCCTAACAGTGTAGCTCATGGGTCCACATTAAGTGCTTCCTCTTCCGTCAGCTGATAGGCTCAGTTCTTAGCGAAGACATTTACTCAAATAGTAATAGTACGAATAGTAGTTATAACACATTTTACTTCCAAAACCTGGGGTGCCCTCCAACAAATATATAGAGTCCGTTGGGGGAAAAGTGGGAAGAAACAGTGCAATAGTAGTAAAGCAAATATGTAGGGAACACATATGGACCGGAGAGGTTCCACTTCCTTTCTTTATCCAGAGTTCTCACTAAGTTCTTTTTCAATGTGAGCATTTACACCTCAGAAATTGGCAAACACTACAAAATCAGGACTGGATTTATTGTTTTGTGGCTTGGCCGGTCTTAAGAAAATGATGGAGAAAATGTTAATAATGCAGATTAGATTTGAAAGGGTGTAGGGAGTACATTTTTGGGGAGTATGTCCATAGTTAAATATTTACCAGCACACCCTTGAGTAGGTTACACCCTACCTAAATGAAACACCTAATTGTGCCCCCTGTGTTCTCCACCCTGAAAGCCCCTCTTAGTAAGTGGAATGGGCTGCCTGTGGGAATACTGGCCCTGGAGATCTTCAGAGTCTGGTTGGAAGTCAGGAAGGATGTAGAAGGATTCATCCTTTGGGAGGGGTATGACTAGATGAACCATGTTCATAAATTTGTGATTATACGTTTACAGACCATCTATAAACTGTAATTCTTTGTACCATCTGCACTTTTTTTTTCCTGCCACTACCACTGTGGAAGGGACAGCAGAGGATTCAGGGCATCTTTCCCCCTTGTTTCATGGATTGCAGTGGCCAAAGAATTCATCACCAAGTAGCTAACCTAATGGTGATGAGCTTCTTCATGCATAGCTAGGCCAGGCTTTGGAAAGTAGACTGTTATCAATACCAAATGTGAAATCTTTTCAATATAGTAAAACCTGCCAGAGCTTGTGCTCATGGCCTTTCATTTGTTGTTGAATTGGGTCTGATCCTTCATGGCTCTCTATGGAATTTTCTTGGTAAAGATGATGGAGTGGTTTGCCATTTCCTTTTCCAGTGGATTAAGGCAAACAGAGGTTAAGTGACTTGCCCAGGGTCACATAGCTAATGAGTTTCTGAGGGCATATTTGAACCCAGGTCTTCCTGACTCCAGGCTGCTCTATCCATTGAACGATCTAGCCTTTAGTTATCCAAGGTCAAAGGCTGCCACAATACGGCGTCAGAGGAAGCGCTTTGTAGAAATACCTAAACCTGAAGTTCAATCAAATTCAACGATCTTTTATTAAGTGCCGGGTACCGTGGCTGCTGGGGATACAACACGAGACAAAACAAAAGCTAGTCCATGTCCTCGAGGAAATTAGGTTTTTTGTGGGGAACAGCAAGAACCCAAGTCAATACAAAAGCATTTCAGAGGGTGAGGTGATCGCTAAGAGGTCTGCCTTTTGAAGGGGGTGACACTCAAGCCGAGCCTTCCAGGGAGCTAGGATTTCCAAGGGAGGGGACAGCAGGAGGGAGACAGCATGTCCCGGGTGGGGAACAACAAGGAGGCCAGTATGACTGGAAATTATAAGAGTACGTGAGAGAAGTAATGTGTAATCAGGCTGGAAAGATAGGTTGGAGCCAGATTAAATACCAGAGGAGTCTAAAAAGCTCCCTGCAGAGTCAGGGCTTCCAGAAGGGAAACTACTAAACACCTGGAGGCCAAGTTAAAAAGGAAGCACTAGCCCCACGGCCGGAAAGAAAAAAAGCCGCTCCCCTCCCCGCGGCCCCTTTCAAGTTACCGCCAATATACAGCTCAATAAACACTTAAAATCACTCGGAGAGGGAAGGGGCCCAAGGGGGCGGCGTGGGCAGACACAGGATCACAAAGGGCCTGGTGTGCCAAGGAAGAGTTTTGTACCCCTTCCTACCGAGGGCAGGGGTTGGAGGTGGAGCGGGGGCGGGGGCGGGTAGCAGGATCGGGCCTGGGGCTAAGGACTGGGGCTGAGGCCGGGCCTGGGACTGAGGGGTGGGGCTGAGGCTAAAACTAAGCGAAGCTGGGGCGGGGGCGGGGGCGGGGAGGGCAGCAGGATTGGGCCTGGGGCTGAGGCTGGGGCTGGGGCTGGAGTTAGGACAAAGTGGGGAGATTGGACTGCTGGAGCTGGGATTGGGGGGGTGGGGCTGGGGCTGAGATTGGGGGGGTGGGGCTGGGACTGAGACTGAGGGGTGAGGCTGAGGCTAGGTAAAGGGAGGTTCAGAGCTCTTAGTACCGATTTAGATAATGACGCCAGCTTGGCGACCAGTGACATTTGGGGCTTGAATATCTGGGTGTCCCGTCCACTTCACTTCACGTTCTAGTTTTCTTTGAAGCAGCCTCGGGGATCTAGATACCCTCAGGGGTCTAGATAAAGTCCTAGGTGAAGTCCTGGAGAGCTAGGCTTGCAAGGATTCCCAGCCGTCCTGACCAGCAGGCCTTTCCTGGGACACGACCTGTGTCGCTTCCAAGGCTCCAACTCGGGGATCGGTTCCGGCCGGTACTCAACCTGACACTTTCCCAAACCAGTGTGGTCATTGGAGCCAGGCCTCTCCTCTGAGAAGTGCTGCCCACCTCTAGGGACCCAGGTGCACTTGGGATCTAGGTCTGTTGGAGGATTTGCTGTTTCAGTGGTGAGCCACCAATCCTCCTCCAGCAGTTGGAAAATCAATTCAAATAAACATTTATTAGGTGCCTACTATGTGCCAGGCACAATGCTAAGTGCTGCACACAAATATGAAATACAGTCCTTGCCCTCAAGGAGCTTACAATCTAATGGGGTAAGACGACATACAAAAGGAAGGTGAAAAAACAGTGTGTGTATTTTGGGGTGGGGGTGGGTGGGAAAAGAACAGGGGGTAAAAGCGCCAAACCATGAAGTTCTGTGGAGTTGAAACCAAGCTGAGTTGCTGATAGAAATGGAATATTACCCAGAAAGTTCTGAGCCCTCAATCAATCAATAAACATTTATTAAGCTCCTACTGGGGATAGAAGAAAGGGCAAAAGACAGTCGCTGCCTTCAAAGAGATTATAGTCTAATGGGGGAGAGAACATGCAACAAATATACACAAACAAGCTATATACGGGATAAATAGGAAATAATTAACAATGGGAAGGCACTGGAGGGATTGGGGAAGGCTTCCTGTAGGAGGTAGGATTTTAGTTGGAACTTAAAGGAAGCCAGGGAGGTCAGTAGTTGGAGTCGGGGAGGGGGAGTATTCCAGACATGGGGTTCAGCCAGAGAAAATGTCCAGAACCAAGAGATGGAGTGTCTTGTTCACAGAATAACTAGGAGGCCAGTATCACTGTTGTACGTGTTGGGGGAGTGAGAAGGGCTTTGTGTGCCAAAGAAAGGATTGTATATTTAATCCTGTAGGTGATAGAGAGCCTCCCTGGAGTTATCGAGTAGGGAGTGACATAATCAAATCTGAGCTTTAGGGAAATCGGAGTGGGGAGAGACTTGAGGCAGGCAGATTCTGGTAATAGTCCAGGTATGAAGTGAGTAGTAGCAGTGTCAAAGGAGAGAGCGGAGCGTTAGAGATGCTGCAAAGGTGAAATCAACAGGCAACAGATTGGTTGTGGAGGGGGAGGCGAGGTGGTGAGTGAGAGCGAGAAGAGGACAAATTCTAGATGGCGGGCAGATTTGTGTTGCCCTCTGCTGTAATAGAGAAGGCGCAGTGTTTAAGGCAGGCTTTGGGCGGAGTTTACAGCTCCGCCCCTCCAGAACTCCAATCAGAGGGCGGAGGCACCTGAAGGCGCAGAGAAGGTGTTGAGTATCAGAAATGCCAATCTGGGTGATGGTGAGATTTCCGGTGATCTACCGATCTGGGGAATAAGCACTAGAGTTGAAACCTAGCTGAGCTGCAGCTCAATCAACAAGCATTTATTAAGCGCACAATCAATAAGCTCACAAGCCACAAGCATTTATTAAGAGCATACTGTATACCAGTCGCTGTGGGAATGTAGAGGAAAACCAAACGCGTCTCCCTCCCTCCTGCTCCCCGCTAAGTTTCCATCTCCTTATTTTGTCCGTATTCATTAGAATATAAGCACCTTGACGGCACGAACTGTCCTTTTTTCGTATTGTTTGTAGCGCCTAGTAGGAGGAGCTTAATAAATGCGTATTGACTGAGCCCATCTAAAATAAATAAACAATGATGGTTGGTCCGAGGGCAAGAGGGACTAGCCGTAGGTAGGAGAGTTGGGCAAAGCCTATGAAAGGATATGGCCGAAAGGCGCTAGGGCTTCCAAAAAACCCGAAGCCGCTGAGTCCTCCTCGTAGCCTAGAGCGGCCGGAGAGAAACCTCGGACTTGGCTGGGGCGACTTCCGGGGGGAACTGGAGTCCGGCAACACTTCCGTCCGAGGCTGACTCCCTCCTTTTGTGAGGGCATCCTGGTTTGGCCAGTCGATCACGCGCTCCGGAGCAGAGGGTGAGTCCGGTATATACATGCTAGTGTCTGTCACCGTCATCATCATTATTAACAATAATAATATTTTCCTAGAGGTAATAGGGAGCAACTGAAGGCTTTTGAGCAAGAGAGGAGTAAAATGTTCAAACCTGTGCTCTAGAAATATCATTTTGCTAGCATCTTGGAGGATGCATGAGGGGAGTGGGGAGGTCTAATAATCCAGGCAAGAGGTGATGAAGGAATGAACTTGGGTTGCAGTCATTTTAAGTGGAGAGAAGGGGACAGTATATGAGAGCCCTTTACGGAGGTCGTTGGCAAGACTTTACAACTGACTACTTGGGGGCATGGAGATACAGCATTTGCACAGTTAAATAAATACTTACTGATCATCGGTAGCAGGACAGGCTTCCAGTAGGAGGCAGCACCAGAGATGAGCCTTGGAGGATGCACAAAGAGGATGCACTGCTGTGGCAGCTGGATGTGGGGCAAGGTGAATTTTCCATCAAAGAAATTTCCAACAGAGACAGGGGTAACTACCAGGATCTCAGAGCTATGGCTTGACTCAAAGAGCCAGAAACCACCTGGCCCGAAGGAAACCATTTGTTTTTCAGTAATCGAACTCCCTGGGTACTGTTTTGAGGTGGAATAAAGGGTAATTGGGGTGAGGGGTAAGGGGAAGGACTTGGGGAGGTGATGAGTTCAGTCGTGCTCGACTCTTTATGACCAGTTTTGGAGTTTTCTTGGCAAAGATACTAGAGTGGTTTGCCATTTCCTTCTCCAGCTCACTTTACAGATGAGGAAACTGAGGCAAACAAGGTTAAATGACTTGCCCAGGGTCACACAGCTAGTAAGTGTCTGAGGCCAGATTAGAACTCAGGAAGATGAGCCTGACTCCAGACCCTGCACTGTATCCACTTCGCCACCTAACTGCCCCAGCTGATGAGCAGTGATAAGCAAATGAAGAGGAAGAGAGAGAAAAGCATCAATAAAACACTAAAAAATATAGCAAAGGGAGCTGAAGGAAGTTCAGAAGGTGACCCAGGCAGGTAGTCTCGTTACTAGTGTTCAGTTTAATATGCATTAAGAAAACACATACATGAGATTTCACAATTTTGTATACAAACTTATTTTTCTCTTCTTTGTATATTGAAACATTCACTTTTTATTATGTTAATAATAAAAAACAAAATTTAATGTAAAAAAAAATAGGTTTCAACACCTAAGCTACGATTTAACTCAGCTGTGTGCTTCTGAGAGCCTAAGGACTCCAGAAGAATTGCCTGGCTCTGTGTCATTTGGAAATTTATTTTAATAGATAGTTGATGCCTGTTAGGCCTTTATCAAAGTCACTAATAAAATGTGTAGCAAGCAGCACAAGACGGGTCTTTCAGGAACTCAGATCACAGATCACAGAATTTCAGAACTGGAAGAGACCTGAGCATCTATTTAGACCAACCCTTAACCTGAGGGGGAAAAAGTCAAATCATTAAACATTTTATTAAGCAAGCGCTTTATTAAGTGCCTAGAATACATAGAAAGGCAAAGAAAGACCCTGCTGGTCAGGGAGCTCACAGCCTGATGGAGGAGACAGTGCAAATAACAGTGTACAAATATGATACATATAGAATAAATTGGAGATGTCAAAGGGAAGGTGCTGAGATTAAGGAGGGCTGGGCAAGGTATCCTGCAAGAGCTAGGCTTTTGGTTGAGACTTGAAGGAAGCTAAGGGAGCCAGAAGGTTGAGATGAGGAGTGGACAGCCCTCATTACCTCACCTGGATTATTACAATACCTGCTTGCCAGTCCCCTTGCCTCAAGTCTCTCTCCACTCCTATCCATCCTACACTTAACTAGATCTATCCATGAATATGGTAGAATTTTCATGGTCTTTGAGAAATATGAGGAAGTCCAGGAAGACTTGTATGAGTTGATGCTGAGTGGAATTAGCTGAATCAGGAGAATATACACAAAGAATACAAGTATGCAAATAAAAACAACACTTAAGGCAACTGAACTCAGATGAATTGCGGTGGCTAATATTGGCCCCCAGATAACAGATAATGAATAGACTAACCTCTTGGTTGAGAGGTTCTAAATGCCCAATATACCTTTAGATGAGGCTGGTATTGCTTAACTTTTCCTTTATTACAAGGGAGGGTTTGATAGGTGTTAACCAGTGTAAAAAGTAAAAAAAAAGTCATTAAAACTTTCTTTAAAAAAGAAAAGACTAGACCTGTGATGTACAGTTGTGAGAAAACTTGCATCAGTCTTTGGCTCTGACTACTGGGTTTCTGGTCTACATAACCTCAGTCCTTGGGTAAGGGTCTCTAAAGCTGCAGGGAGAGGTCCAGTTTCCCAGCCACTCAGGGCAAGGTTCAAACAATACAATGAAGTTTTCTCCCAATTCCCACAATGGAATAAGTTTTCTCGTAAGACAGAATTTGGGCTAGACCCATAATTGAATAGAAACTAAGCTAGCTCCAGAATTGAATCACAAGATGAGTCAGTGTAGTTCACTTAATTCCCACAATTATCCACTTGCTGTGCTAATCTCCTCAATTTCAATTGAGTCCAATCTCCTCATTTTATAGATAAGGAAAGGAAGATCCACTGAGGTGAGGTGACCTGCCCAAGGTCACACAGGTAATAAGAGGAGGATTGGGGGGAGATTTGAACCTAAATCCTCTGCCTCGAGAGGTTTTTGCCAGGGCTTTGTACCACAAGGCCTCCTGTACCACAATTCATTACAGATTGTTCTTGGGGAAAAGATGGGAGAGAGATGAGGTCGACGACAGTATAAATTCCAAGCTGAATGGACAGACTTTTCATTAATAGGTCCATGCCACCTGTAAGGCTTCTAGTGTAAAGCAGTGGTAATTCCCTGGTACTCTGTCCATCAGACCACATCTAGAATATACTGTGTTCAATTCAGAGAATGTTTAGCCTGGAAAGGAAAAGATTCAGTGGGGATATGCTAGCCTTCTTTATATAGATCTCAAGGATTTTCATGTGGGAGAAGAGCTATATTTGTTCGGTTTGGCCCCAGAAAGCAGGATAAGGAGTGATGAGTGGAAATTGCAAAGAGGCAGCTTTAGGCTTGATGTCAGGAAAAACTTCCAAACAGTTCAGTTTTTCTTAAAGCGGGAATGGGGTGCTTTGAGAGGTGGTGGATTTCCTTCATTGGCGGTCTCTAGGTAAAGACCAGGTAAAGACTTGTTGGATATGATGGAGTGGGGATTCTACTTCTATAGCCTCCCTTCTGTCCTCTGACACTTCCACCACCCAGGTCATGCTCACAAACAGTTATGCTCTTAGTCTGAGGGGTTGTTATGATCATCATTTTTATTGTACTGTTATGGAAATGCTTGTTTTGTTCTACGAATGGAAAATAAAATAACATTAAAAAAATGAACCCATGACAGGGGTAACTGGAGAGTCCCAGGGTGTGGTTCTGGGGTGGCTGAAGACATGGCTGATTTCACTCACAGCCACGTTTTCTTCTTTCAGTTCTATATGTTCTCCAGGATTTTGCCTGCCCTTATAAGGGAAAGCCAAGAGACAAGGGAATGGAAACCAAACGCCTACCTTCTGAGCTCCAGGTGGGCTTTCCTTTCAGAGATCTTTTTGGGGCTCTAGCCCTTAGTGTGGCCTCAGATCCTTTTTCTTCTCTGTGAGCTTCTCTGTCTGCTAACCTTTTCTCTCTTAAGGCAGAACTCTAAAAACCCAATTCCCAAGACTGAAGCTGTCTCAGTGTGGGGAAGAGGGCTCCCTTTTGGACAGTTCTCTGATAGGCAAGGCATCCTGTCCCCAAACACATATGTGCAGTTTTAGAGAGTTAGTGGGCCTAGCTCCTATGATTTTTCTCTGAGTGATTATGCCCAAGTTGGGGGATTTCCAGCTGTTTTTGACATCCCCCCCCATTTCAGGTTTGGAAGTATGCTCTTGTCATTTCATGTAGTATAATAATATTCCATTTCGTTGACATACCACAGTTCATTTAGCCATCCCCAAGCACTGGCCTTATATGTTGTTGCCAAGGTTCCTTCCCACTCTAAAATTCTGTGATTCTATGGAAATAAATGACAGCTGAGTTGTACCACTGCTGTCAGTTAGCTCTTCATTGAATTGCAGGGGAATGGTATCTACTGTAGTTTCTTGTATAAGGGGGCTATTTCAACTTCTTTGTAAGTCAGGCTGACAGTATCCAGCAGAGTCTCTTAAATATGACTTTTGAACTGCTTTATTTCTGTCTCTACTACCTCTTTTTGAATTCAGTTTACTCTCTGAATTGTTATGAAAATTCCCTTCATTTTCCATCATGCCCTGAGTCACTCACTACCTGGGTCCATGTAAATGGGAGCTTAATCCAGTAATACTTGGAGGATAAAACTAGCAACTTTTTCCCTTGCCTGCAAAAGAACTGCTGCTCTCCCTACATTACTAATTTTTGCCAGTTTGACAGATATATAGTGGGGATCAGGAAAGGGATCCCTTTGTGATCCCTACCAGGTAGTTGTAGGGAACAAGAAAGCCTTCATGTAGAAGGTAACATATGAACTGAATCTTGAAGGAAGACAGATATTTTGGGAGGCTGAGGGCAAGAGAGAGCAATTATGTTCCAGGCATGGGAGACGGCTCTGCCCGGAGGCAGGAGATGGGATGTTGTGGGTGGGGTCAATTTGGCTGGATTACAGAGTGTGGGAGGGAGAGTCCAGTGAGACTGGAGAGACAGTTTGGGGCCAGGTTGTAAAGGGTTTTGAAAAGGAGATAGAGGAATTTATATTTTATCCCAGAGGGAATAGGAAGCCACTGGAATTGATTAAGTGGAGGAGTGACAGAGCCAAATCTGCTCTTAAAGAAGGTCATTTTGGTAGCAGTGTATAGGATGAACCAGAGAGGGGAGAATCTTAAGACGAGAAGATAAATTAGGAAGCTGTTAACAATAATCTAACAAGAGGTGATAAGAGTCTAAGCTATAGTGGCAGGTGTATGAGTAGAGAGAAGGGCTAGGAAGTGAGATATTTGGAGATAGAGATGGCAAGATTTTGCAACTGATGGATATATGGGGTGGGGGAAAGTAAAGAATCAAGGATAATGCCAAGGTTACAAATCTGGGAGCCCAGAAGGATGGATGGTGGTACCTTTGACAAAAATAGAGATACTTAGAAGATGGGAGGTATTAGGGGAAAATAATTAGCTCTGTTGTGGACATTTTGAATTTGAGATATCTTTGAGACATCAAGTTTGAAACATCTAGTAGGCGATTAGTGAAATAGTACTGAAGCTCGAGAGAGACACCAGTAATGGATATAGAGATCTGTGAGTCATCTTCATAGAGATATTAATTAAACCCACTGGAGCTGATGAGGTTGCCAAAACAATAAGGGGTAGAGAGAGAGAAGAGAAAAGGGCCTAGAACAGAGCCTAGGGGAATACCCACGTTAGAAGGAGTGTTATGATGAGCCAGCAGAGGAGCCTGAGAAAGAGCAGTCAGGTTAGAAGAGAACCAGGAGAGAGAAATGTCACAAAAACCCAGAGAAGAGAGTGCCAAGAAAAAGATCAATAGAATCAATATGGCCAATAGGTCAAGGAGAATGAGGAGAAAAGAACATCATTTTGGGGACTGAAGAGATTCATTCATTGGTAACTTTGAAAAGAGCAGTTTTATTTGGGGGTTAGTGGACAGATTGCACAGGGTTGATGCAGTGAGTGATAGGAGAGGAGGTATAGGAAGCAAGTGTAGGCAGCTTTTCCTTTTTCTAGTTTGGCTTAGAAAGGGAAAAGGTATACAGAATGATGGCTTGAGGTGATGCTAGAGTCTAATGAAGGTTTTTTTAAGAGTAGGAGAGACTTGGGTATGTTTGAAAGCAGTAGGGAAGGCAGCAGTAAATCGGGAAAGGTTGAATATTTGAGAGAGAGAGAGAGAGGTGAGGGGGTTGCAACTTGCTGAAGAAAAATGGATAATATGAGGTCAAGTGTACATGTAGAGGGCTTGGCTTTTGCAAGGACAAGGGCTACTTCGTTGTCAGATATTAGGGGAAAGGAGTCAAGAGTGGAGCTAATGTCATGGGATTTTGAAATGAAGAGAATGGGAGAAGAAGGAGCTCACATTTGATAGCCTCAGTTTCCTCAGTAAAGTTAGAGGTCAGATTTTTATCTGAGAGAAGGGGAGGTGGAGAGATGAAGGTATAGGAGGCTTAAGGAGGGAAGAGAAGGTTTCAAATAGCTTCTATGAAGAGTGAGATAATGAATCCGTTAGAGATAAAAACTTTTCTCTGCTGCAGTGAGGGCCCAGTGAATTTAAAATGTACCCAGTCATCCCCGTTATGTGACCTCCTCCAAGTCCTTTCAACAGCCCAGCAGCCCATGAGTGTGGGCAGAGGAGGTAGGTGGTGGGAGTAATCCAGGCTGAAGTTTGGCAAAAAGATGGGCCATGATAGGACAAGGGGTGAGGGATTTGAGAGCAGTGAACAGTGTAGAGTTGACTAACTCTAATTCAGTATAGTTGGCTGACTGTAGAGTCAGGATTGGAAAGGGAGGAGAGTAAAATCAGGGCAGGGTGAGACTGGAGGTCTTGATGATACAGAATAGGTTTAGTAGGGTGAGGTCATAGGGAGAGAGGGAATGATAGGAGGAATTAGGAGGGGTATTGCCCACTTTGTGGGAATCTGGGCCTCCCTGGATTCCTTTAACTTTGTTAGCATTAGACCTTGTTAGCTTTATATTTACATTAGCTTTCAATTTAAAATGCATTAGTTTCTCACAACCCTTATCCACTGTTTCCCATTTGAATATTTGTTTTTGTCTCGGCCCCCTTTTAAAACGCTGTTCTCCTTATGGCATGTTGAGTCTGTTTCTCCTCAACCATTTTGAAATTCTGGGCTCGCCTTGAATCCTTGCTCTCTGAAAAGCTACCAGTGAGCTCTGGTGCTTTCAAGGCAGGCTGAGCCTTCCTGTCCATTACCAGCTGCTGAGTCTCTCAGATGAGAAGTGAGTAAAGGAGCTCGGTGACCTTTACATTCCGAGCTCAGTCTCGACTCTTCTTCCTTAGGCTGTCTGGCACATTTTTGTTTGCCAAGTCTACAGTTTCACGGAAGCTCACAAAGGTTTTTTTCCCAGAAGTATTCATGGATAAATCTGAACTTTTGTTTGTTTTCAGGGACTTGTAAAAGGCTCTTCCTTTTTTTGGAAGGAACTCCTGAACTCTAGCTAACTGCCTGGACAAAGAGCTTGTTAGAAACTTTGTGTGCTGTTCTTTGGAGCTTTTCCACAGCCCTCTTGTCAGCTCTGATGAGGATAATGGAGATTTTCATCGTCTACATTTGGGGGAGATATTCTTTGGGGGTAATGCCTCTAAGTTTTTGCAATCTAAACTCCATTTTATCTAGCTTCTTCTTTATCCTATTCTCTGTCCCTTTAGAGGACTTTCTATCTTAGCTGTAATTCCCTTTGTTTGAATGTGAGTTATTTTTTGAACAGGATAAATGCTACTCACTGAGAACAGCTTCCTAACAATTAGTGCTATCCCAAAGTAAAAAAGGGGGTCGGTTTCCCTTCGTTGGAGATCTCCGAGCAGAGGTCTGCGAGGCTGACCCCAGGGCCGAGGATGGTAACTCTCCCTGAAGCTGCAGCAGTAACATGTTGTTTCAGGAATCAGTGGTGTTTGAGGATGTGGCTGTCTACCTCACCCAGGAGGAGTGGGACTGTCTGCACCCTGCTCAGAGGTGTCTCTACAGAGATGTGATGCTGGACAATTATGAGAACATGGCCTCACTAGGTAAGGCCTTTCTTTGAGACTCAGGCCTGAGCTTCTTAGCTGTCTGCTTTATAATAACCATGGGGTCCAAAGGATTTGGGTGACTTAGGGCTTAGTATTTAGGGATTAAGGATTCTTGATCTTATATTGGCACAGAAAGGATCTCCCTTCTGTTCCTTGACCATACCCTGTTCTATACAGAGCTAGAAATGGGTTGCTTCCTTGACTTCTCCATGACCCTGCACATTTCCCATCCTCTGAATTCCCTCTAGGAGACTAGCCTCACTGTCTTTGGCCCAGAACTGTCACCAAGATCCAATTTGGACATCCCCAGAGGTGAGAGTTTCCTACACTTCTCATAAGTTGAAGACATGAGCTAATAGTTTCCAGGGCCCAGGTCACCTTCCTCCTCGACCTCCCTCATCCTATGGGTAGTACAGTCCTGGAATTCTTCCAGAGGGTGCACAGGTCTTTCTAGGCCTTGCTGTTGAAGTCTCTCTGGACAGTTCTTTACTCCTCCCACCTGGTGCCTATAGATCCAAGGGCTGGGCCTGAGCTTGGGTTAGCCCTGTTAACCCAGGACAAACCACGAGGTCCTATTTTCTTTCTCACAAGCAGGATTTCCTGTGTCCAAACCTGATGTGATCTTCTGGCTGGAGCAAGGAGAAGAGCCATGGGTTTTGGACATACAAGGAACTACCAGGAGAGAGACCTTGTGAGACAGCTGCTTAGGTGAGTTAGTAAGTAGAGAACATTTCCTTCCTTTAGTCTTGTTTATTGTGTCATCATTTTACAGAGGAGGAAATTGAGGCAGACAGAGTTAAATGACTCGCCGAGGGCCACACGGCTAGTGTCTGAGGCCAGATTTGAACTCAGGAAAGTGAGTCTTCCTGATTCTAGGCCTGGAACTAACTTGCAAAGCTCCCATTCTATGTTCCTTAGTGTACTAAGTGGTTTTAGAGACAAAGAAATAAAAGGCATAATCCTAGCTTTGGGAGAGTTCATTCTTAGGTTTGGGTAAATGGAAACAGAAACAAATGAAACAATTAGGAAACTATTATGGGCACCATATGGAGCAATGGTAGAACAAGACATTACCAGTACACATAAGTGCCAAGGAAATGCTGGGCTAATCAAGGCGGGCTTATTGGAGAAGATGACAGTTGAGTTTTGTTTTGTAGGAATCATTGGACGTGGGTTGACAGCAGAGGAGGAAGAATTATTTTAGCTGGAAAGAGCAAGGAAGAGGAATGGTTTAGAAACAGGAAGGAGGAAGGTGGGGGTGGGGGAAAGAGATCGACTTAATTGGAGTAGAGTGTACCAGGTGGAAGTAACCAAACATGGATCATCGACCAAGCATTGAGCGAGGGATCTGAAGACTACCTCTGTACTTTCCCCCTTTGTAGCAATGGGAGCAATTGGCTAAAACTATGTTTTAATAGTTAACTGCATAAAGTTTAGTAGTCAATAAGCATTTATTAACCATCTACAGTGTGCCAGGTACTGTACTCGGCAGTGGGGATTGATGGTTGTCCTTCGTTCTTGAAGAGGACCAAAATGGCATCGCTCTGCTAGAGTCAAGTTTCCGTGGGTCCTATGGGAGATAAAAGACAGCTCCTGCTCTTGAGGATGTCACGATCTCCTGGGGCAGACAGCAAGCAAGCAGGGCATTCTGGCAGTTCTGATTAGTTTGTCATCTGCCAGTGTCGAGATGAAGGAAGGACTTTGATTGTGTGTGATGCTGTGACAGGGACTGCACAGAGGATTTGAAAACATCTGTGCTGGGGCCAGCTAGGAGACACAGTGGATAGACCACCTGCCCTGGAGGTAGGAGGACCTGAGTTCAAATCCTGCCTCACACGTGATTTGTGGGACCCTGGGCAAGTCCCTTAACTTTGATTGCCTCGCAAAAACAAACAAACAAAGCATTATATGTAATGGGGACAGGCTAGAAGCATTTCCAGTAAGATCGGGGATGAAACAAGGATGTCCATTATCACCAGTGTTATTCAACATTGTACTGGAAACGTTAGCCTTAGCAATAAGAGAAGAGAAAGAAATTGAAGGCATGAGAATAGGCAAAGAAGAAACAAAGCTATCACTCTTTGTAGATGACATGATGATATACTTAGAGAATCCTAGAGAATCAAGTAAAAAACTACTTGAAATAATAAACAACTTTAGCAAAGTTGCAGGCTATAAAATAAACCCACATAAATCATCAGCATTTCTCTATATTACCAACAAAGCCCAACAGCAAGAGATAGAAAGAGAAATCCCATTTAAACTTACTGTAGACATTATAAAATATTTAGGAGTCTACCTCCCAAAACAAACCCAGGAACTCTATGAACACAATTACAAAACACTTTTCACACAAATAAAATCAGATCTAAATAATTGGAAAAATCAGTTGCTCATGGGTAGGCCGAGCTAATATAATAAAAATGACAATCCTACCTAAGCTAATTTACTTATTCAGTGCCATACCAATCAAACTACCAAAAAATTATTTTATAGAGTTAGAAAAAATAATAACAAGATTCATTTGGAAAAACAAAAGGTCCAGAATATCAAAGGAACTAATGAAAAGAAATGCAGGGGAAGGTGGCCTAGCAATTCCAGATCTTAAATTGTATTATAAAGCAGCAATCATCAAAACTGCTTGGTACTGGCTAAGAAATAGGGAGGTGGATCAGTGGAATAGGTTAAATATGCAAGACACAGTAGTCAATGACTATAGTAATCTATTATTTGATAAACCCAAAGACCCCAGCTTCTGGGATAAGAACCCACTCTTTGAAAAAAACTGCTGGGAAAACTGGAAAAGAGTATGGCAGAAACTAGGCATAGACCAAATATCCACCATACCAAAATACCAAAATAAAGTCAAAATGGGTTCATGACTTAGATATAAAGGCTGATACCATAAGTAAACTGGGAGAACAAGGAATAGTTTACCTATCAGATCTATGGAGAACAGAAGAATTCATGACCAAACAGGAGATAGAGAACATTATGAAAAGTAAAATGGATAATTTTGGTTACATTAAATTGAAAAGTTTTTGTATAAACAAAGCCAATGCAGCTAAGATTAAAAGGAAGGTAGAAAATTGGGAAAGAATTTTTACAACCAATCTCTCTGATAAAGGCCTCATTTCTAAAATATGAAGAGAATTAAGACAAATTTATGTCTTAAGACAAAATAATGGCTTTCCCCAATTGATAAATGGTCAAAGGATATGAACAGACAGTTCTCAGATGAAGAAATTAAAGCCATCTATAGTCATATGAAAAAATGCTCTAAATCATTATTGATTAGAGAAATGAAAATCAAAACAACTCTGAGGTACCACATCACACCTATCAGATTGAGCAACATGACAAAACAGGAAAATGATAAATGTTGGAGAAATGTGGGAAAATTGGAATGCTAATACATTGTTGGTGGAGTTGTGAAAGGATCCAACCATTTTGGAAAACAATTTGGAACTATGCCCAAAGGACTACAAAAATGTGCATACCCTTTGACTCAGCAATAGCACTTCTAGGGCTATATCCCAAAGAGATCATAAAAATGGGAAAAGGACCCACATGTACAAAAATATTCATAGCAGCTCTTTTTGTGGTGGCAAAGAATTGGAAATTGAGAGGATGCCCATCAATTGGGAACGGCTGAGCAAGTTGTGGTATATGAATGTAATGGAATACTATTGTGCTATAAGAAATGATGAACAGGCTGACTTCAGAAAAACCTGGAAAGACTTATATGGTCTGATGCTGAGTGAAGTGAGCAGAACCAAGAGGTCTTTGTACACAATAACAGCGACGTTATGCAATGACTAATATTGTTAAACTGAACCCTTCTCAGCATTACAAGGATCTAAGATATCTCCAGAGGCCTCGGGATGGAAAACACTGTCCACATCCAAAGAAAGAACTATGGAAGTCAAATCATTATCACTTATTTTTGCCTTCTGTTGAGTTTTGTTTCATCTTTCTGATGGTTCCTCTTGTTGGTTTTAATTTTTACTTACAACTTCACTAATGTGAAAGCCTATATCAGATTGTGTGCCGTCTTGGAGAGGGTGGGGGGGAGGAAGGGGGAGAAAAATTTTCAACTCAAAAGCATATGGAAGTGATTGTTGATAAAATAAATTAATAAAATTTTCAAAAAAGAAAAAAAAAAGGAAAAACAAGCAAACAACCCCCCTCCAAAAAAACCCCCCATCTGTGCTACATGTAACCAGACTCATTGTTTATACAGTCCAGGATCCTGACTCTTAATAGTGGTCTTTAGGGTCAAGTTGTGGGAGGTCTTAGTTGTTGTACTGGTTGTTATCATCAGCATTTTAAGTACATGCTCCTATAACATTCTAAATTTGCCTAATAATGTCTTTTGGATTTTTTCTCCCTTTAAATCCTTATTACAGTAACGTTGGTCAATCAGTTTAGTAAACTCTGGGTGGTAGTCCTTGGCCAGTCAGGTAGAGGCAAAAGGGTGTGGCTATCTGGGTAGAATTCCCCATTTGATCAGATTGAATATTTGGCTCTGAATAACACCTGAGCTTGGAATATATGTGATAAGTGTTGAGTTCTGTATTATAGACCCAATTAGTTTATCAGCCCAATAATATACCTTCTAAAAGAGTTCTCAGAGATTCATTAGACTTGAATTCTTCTTCCCTCAAACATGTGGTTCTTACCCCAACAGGCTTTATGTTCATACATTTTCAATGATCTTACTCTTTATTATAGATGCTTATACTTGCCTGATACAGAAATAAGATTCACTGGTCTGTAATTCCCCAGATTCCCTTCTGGATGAACCAAAGTGCTAGCAATTCACTGGTCTTGCATACAGCAGTAATTTGTAAGGGCAGATTATATATTTTGGCCACTGATTCTATAGTTCTGCTTTCATAACTTCCTATTGCCTGATATTTGATTATGTTGAGTTATCTAGTCCTGTCTACATTAGATCTGGAACATCTGGTATATTTGTATTTACCATTGTTTGAGCTTAGAACCCTGAACTGTCTATTCCAAAAGTTCGTAAGTAGAAATCTTTCTCATGTCTCCCCCATGAAATAGCAAAGCAAATACATGTTTTCATTCCTCTGCCCTTTTTCCATCCCTGATCACGTGACCTGGTGATCCTATCACCAGGTGGCTGTGTGTATGCTCTGTCTTCTTATGATGACAGATTTAAAGGGCCTGTTTTTGAGTCCTTTGCAAAGTATTCCTTGAATTCTTTTACTCAGTTCATGCCTTGTTTACCCATGGCCTGCCACATTCTGCAGCTTCTCCATTCTTCTTGCTTGGGCAGCCTTCTCAATTTAAAAAAGTTTTTCTCCTTGGGTGGATTCTTTCCCATTACTAATCTGTTAAATCCTAGTGATCTTTAGAATTTAATAATAACCACTAAATTTATGTAGGCTGTAAAGGCTATAATTACTTGTTTAAATAGTTCAGGGTGAATTTGTTTTAATTGTATGCCACATCTTTTTCTCAGACTTCTTGATTTTTACTAATTCTGATCTTAGCTCTGCTGATGTCTTCCTGACAGAGACAGCCTTTTTAGGGAGATAGTCACACCAGTAAAACACCTTCTATCTGCTAAGATATGGTATTATAAAGGTGCTTACTATGCCCAGCACCTAATGATTTTTTTTTGTCAGAGTATGTGTTCATGCTATAAAGCATGAGGTTTCTATGAAATCTGCTGGCTT